TCTTGAGAAGAATTAAAACAGAAAGAATGAAGGTACTTCCAGGATTTCTGTCTTGTGCCAGACCTTCTTTTGCCCCTCAATGACCATTACTAAAATGTCTGTTTTATGTCATTTAAAGTCAGGGGCCCATACTATTCTGTCAGCCCCTCAAAACGACTATTAGTTTCTTTAGTTATTTTGACAATACAAATTCAAATTTAAATTGCAGAATTTATTAATTTTCATAATATTTTGAGTTATATTAGGTGTAAAATAGCAAGTTAACTGTCCTACCAGAGCTGATAGAATACTAGGTCACTGCTACTGTGACCCTGCCTTTTGCACCTATTTAAAAGCACTGCTTTGAAATTCAGATCACGCAATAATTTTGCTTACAGATTTATAAATAAAAGCCTGAGAGGGTGTTTTGAATGTACAAATTGGAATAAATTTAGCTCTGCTTGTGCCTCTTTGAATGGATACACTGATACTGTTACAACCTATGCAAGTTTCTGTGAAGAGATATGCATTCCTACAAAAACTTTCAAGACATACAGTTACAAGAAATTGTGGTTCTCAAAGGAACTGCAAGTCTTAAGCCATAAGAAGAGCAAGGCTTTTATTAAGGGTAACAGGACTGAATATATCTCAGACAAATATGAACTACTCTCTACAGTGAAGAAAGCTAACAGCAACTACAGTAAAAAACAAGGGGACCAACTTTCTGACAACTCAAGAACAGTTTGGAGGAAAATTCACAATATGCCAAACTACAAGGAATAAAACTCTGTCACCTTACTGGATGACGACCCCAGTCTTTCATATAAACTCAACAAGTTTTGTGCTCGCTTTGAAAAACCTGATGTGAAGACTCCTCATTACCTTCATCTACCCCTTTGCCTCCTCCTTTCTCCATCCATATCGACGAAGTAAGAGCAATCTTCAAAAAACAAAATAAAAGAAAAGCCACAGGTCCAGACAATTTGTCAGCTGCAGCCCGCTATTGTGCCGACCAATTGGCTCCTGTGTTAAAAAACATTTATAATACTCCACTTCTTCAGCAGAAAGTCCCTCTGAGTTTTAAAATATCCACTATAATACCTGTTCCTAAATCTTCAAAAAGATCTTGCCTCAACAACTACAGAACAGTTGCTCTGACTTTGGTGGCTATGAAAGCCTTTGAGCGTCAAGTGCTTAAGCACCTCAAGCACTGTACATCTCCTCTGCTGGATCCTCAACAGTTTACCTACAGGGCCAACAGGTCTGTTGAAGATGCTGTTAACCTGGCTCTCCATTGTATACTCCAGCATATGGAGAAGCCAAATTCCTATGCCCGCATCCTTTTTTTGGATTTCAGCTCAGCATTCAATACCATTAATTTTCATAAATTATTCAGTAACCAGTTGGACTTGAACATCAACCCTGCTATGTGTCGTTGGATTCTGGACTTTTTAAAATATCACCAACAGATTGTCAGGGTGAATAACAGGACATTTTGCTCTCTGACTCTCAGCACAGATGCTCCCCAAGGCTGTGTTCTATCTCCATGGCTCTTTTCCCTTTTCACAAACAACCTCACATCTCGGGATGACTCTGTCAAGATTTTCAAATATGCAGATGACAATACCATTCTTGGTCTCATCTCGAATAATGATGAGACTTGTTACTGAAAGCAGATTGACTGGGGAACAGCCTGGTGGTTGGACAATGGCATCATACTCAACGCTTCTAAAAGCAGGAAAACCATCATTGACTTCTGACCCATCCAGACACAAAACGTCCAGTCTTTATTAATGATCATCCCATTGAGACCACAAACTCCTTTAATTTCTTGGTACATACAGATGCAGCCATTCAAAATGCGCGGGCGATACCGCATTATTTTGCGGTGCGCTTTACGTGGTCTACCGC